TCAAATAGTTGAAGCACCAAATTTTTCATTTCTTTCTCTTCCCAAAAATTTGAAAACATCAAAATTTTCTTATTTATTTTAAAATATTCAAATAATCAAATAAATTACTTTACTCTATCTATATTTAATTGATAATTGTTTTGAATAGTTAAACTAACGAGAATTTTTATGTATATATACTTTATAATGTTATACATTATCTTATTTGTTAATTATTCATTATCAATATTGACATTGTGCTAATTTGATATTTATTATTTATAATTTTTTTGTTAAAGTGAAGTTTATGTTCTACATTTTAAATTTTATAAAAATACAACATTTTAAGTGAATTTCATATGTGGACATTTCTTTTATGAAATGTAAAAATGGCTATAGATTGTATAATATAACAATTATTTAGGTCAGTCAGGTGAGTCATGGGTTAGTCAGATTCGGGCATGGGCGGGAATTATATATTGAGCTTTAGGGGGTGTCAAGGGACACCCTAAAATTTGGAAAAACGATTATCAAACCTCTAGTAGAGACTTCTGGTCTTTCATGCAGGTTGTGCTTTTCTTTTACATCTGCCTAGCTAGATTTTGTTGGCATACAATCGGCAACCAGACTCTGATACTAATTTGTTGTCTATATGAATCTTGGTATGTGGTTTATGAGATTTGATAAAAGGAAGGGTCGACTTGGATTGGTTTATGATACGAATTTGTCGTTGCCGTTATACTACTTATGTACTGACTTAAAGCTTTATGAAACAACGCACAAGGCAAATATTGATTACATAAACGGGCCATCCATTAAGTAAGGATTAGTTATGTAAGATAAGCATATACATTATGTAATCATTACGTAATGATGTATGTCGTATCTTACGAAATGTAACCTGTCAAACCTAGCATATAACATATAAAAACAATCGAGTTATCTTATTACTTTCCTGGATTGTAGAATACCCAACAGTTATGTCTATTCGTGTTCATTTCTCACAAACCATGAAGCAACATTAATCTACGAGGAACATTTTTGTGAATTAAATTGAGAAGATGGAATGCAGTTGCTAGGGTTACTGGGGCTTCTGAAGGGAATCACAACCAATGCAGTGGCGTCTGCATGTGCTTTGAAACTATATGGAGAAGGACAAATTACAATACTTAATAAAGATGCACCGGAAGACTTGATGCAATTTGCTGCCCATTTTGTAACCAACACTGATCAACAACAGACCTATTGCAACTTGGCTGATTTCCTGCCTTTCTACGAGGACCACCCTTTACAGGTACTACCATCCTTTCGTATTTCTATCAAGGATTAAAATACCGTACCGTACCAGCGGTTCGACCTGAAAACCCTCATACCGGAGGCTAAACCGCGATAGACGGTATGAAGTGGTTGAACCACGATTTTAGCATAAAATACCCTATCGCAACTTTTCCGGTACAACCTCCGATACGGTATTTCAATCCTTGATTTCTACTCTTTGCATTTCCTATCCCTATATTCTCATTTTTCAAGTAATAAATATTCTTTTTTTTTTCTATATACTTGCTGTTACTGAAAGAAGGGGGAAAAAACACTGAATATATATAGTGATTGGCATTCAGCGAGCAGAGTGGATAAAATTCATCGGTGTTTTCGCAAACCTGGAGACAAGAGCCAACCAAGTTTATGACAGGGTGAGTCTGTTAATTAAGAAGCTGATTCTTCTTCTTCCACGTACATGCGTTTTCTTTCTCTCTCAACATCATTAAAGATTCTTCTATTAGAGTATAGTACGAGTAGTATTATGTTATATTACGAGTACTGGTATATAATTGGACAGAGTTATATTCCTTATTAGAGTCGTAGAAGTTAAATAATTTCCCTATTAATGTTAGGGTTATTATAAAAGTCAGCTTTAATACTACTTGTACTAGTACTACACATACTCTAATAGCTTTTATCTTCTTCACTTCTTGTTCTGGGTTTGACAGATTAAAGAAAATTATTTGTGCTTAGCTGGAGCGGTAGCCAACCAGTCCAGACCGTTCAAGCCAGTGGTAGCCTGGCTCGCTTTCTACAATGTTAGTAAATATACCTCACAAATTTTATGTTAATGTCTTTCAAATGTCCAAACTCATTGCTTTGGTTGTGAATAAATGATTTGATAAGATTGTTGATTAATTGGGGGACATTTATCCATTGGAGAATTTTGATTTTTGAATTTGACTTGTCCTCTTTGTGCATGTATTGGTGACCCAGGACATTTGGTCCTTCACCCAGGATAAGTCCAAGTTGAAGGTAGGTACTCCCACACTTGTAAGAGATCAAATAATTATATTAGAAGACTTCTACTATGCTCTAAAATATGGGTGTTTTACTGTACAACTTGAAGTTGTACCATAACGTTAAATGTATAAGTTTAGGTTGTACCATAAAGGAATTTGTACCCTTATGTTATGGTACAACTTTACACCATCACATAAATGTACAAGTTCAAGTTGTACCATGAAAGAATTTGTACAAAAGAGTATATGTACAATCTAAAGTTGTACCATAACGTTAAAGGTATAACTTCAAGTTATACCATAAAGGCAAAAACCTATAGCACCAATACTAATATACTATATAGCATAGTAAAATTTCTCATTATATTGTCGTCCAAATCTGTCAATGTCCTTTTTTTTTTCCTGTTTTCAATATTTGCATTTGATTCTCTTATATACTTAACGAATCGAGTCGAGCTGTCTTTAGTCCTGTCCCGTGCTCGTCTCAATAATAATAATAATAATAATAATATAGTACTTATATTAGAGTCTGACACGAACTTTATACATTAGGGAGGCTAAAACTTGACTTGTTCATCTTACCACAAGTGACGATTAACATCGTTTTCACATGAATTATCGCCTGCGAAAAACGACCATTATGAGTCGAGTCTACTGAATACACTAAAAAAAAAATGGGTGCAATCAAAGACGCCACCATATATATATCAACCCGAGTAACTAATATTAAGCCACTTACATGCACGCAGTACGTGGAAGATGCAGGTGGGGAGAACATAGATACCTCTATCAACAGAATCACTTACAATACCTCCAATCCAGATGACTTGGAGGCACTACATGCTATCCTTTGTGTACGTTTACTTCACAGACGACACTTTGTTTTTGTTTTTTGTTTTCGTTTTGTTTTTGTTTTGTCTAACATGTTAATCTCTATCAGACGGTGGATGTGGTGATTGATGAAACCGCAACTCTTGATCCCGCGGCATACACGGTGTCGAGCTTCCTTGAGAATGTGGGTGTCGAAGATCACTCTTGCTTTGCTTTCCTCACCAACCAAACCTTGTGGAGATACGATAAACGAGCCTACAATTCAACTCTTGGTAACATATATATAATTCGTTACCTTAGATGTTGTTAATCTTGTCCTCCATCGATTTGTTTAGTAGCTAATATATATATAATTGCGTTGGTTGGTTGTTCTGGACATCTTTCTCGACCAAATTTGCAATCAAGACTGGTACGATGGAGCAGTGTCGCAGCCTCAACTGGTTTTAGCAGATCTTATTCAAGCACTTTCCTCGCCCGGGAATTCTTCCACCACCTTCCTAAGGAACATTGCTAAGGTCTGTGCGCGATTTACGTACGTGTATATATACGTGTTGAAAATGATTGCATCTTTCCACAATGCCTATCTAGCTAAATGATCATGTGCTTAATTACCCTAATAACGCGCAGGGTGAAGGAGTTTTAAGCATAGACGGCAGCATGTGTGGCAGCCAAGATTTTTCAACTCCCATGGATCCAACCATCCTGCCCTGCCCATAACTAGCTCAATACTAATTGTTTTGATGGAATTCTTTTCCAGACTTTTTATTTATTTATTTATGGATGTGCTAGCTAACATAGCCACATCTTTTGATACTCATAAATTTAGTTAGATTAAGATTTTTTTTATAAGGATGATATAGTTTTATTAAAAGAAGAAAAGGGGAAAGGATTTGGAGACGACTGAGTAATTTGTTGTAGAATATATGATTTTAAGTTATTTAAGAGACAAGTGTGTAAAATTGTCCCCATATAAGAAGAAAATAACTTTTAATTACTTAGGTGTCCCCAAAACTAGAAGTTTCCATAAAGAAGAAGATTTCATAGGATTCTATTTTATCGCCAAAGAGATTGCTTGATTTTTTTAAATGAAGAATTTTTTAAAATCTAGAATTATTTAACGAAGCTCGTAAGTTGGGAAAATGAGGAATTTGTAATTACCTTTGTGCATGAGTCCAGCCGAACCTTTGTGCATGAGATTTTTTAGATTTCCTTTTTCGAAGTTTGTGATTTAATTTTCTCAAACTATTATGTTTTCGAAATTAATTGTCTAAACAATGCTCGCTAAAAATGGTTTCCCACCTTATTGTTCTTTCACCTTTGTACATGAGTGCCCCAACTAGATTTTCTGGGAGATGAGAGATGAATTGAAATCAAACGGCAAGAACATTAAAGTAGCGAGATAGTAAGACTTCTCTAAAAAATCTGTATTAGTTGTCCCTATAAGTTACATCAGCAGTGGATCCAGTACATAATGGAACACTGGCCGCATTTAATTAGAAAATTTGATACCGTAAAAAAAATCATAGTTTTTTATAGGCTAAATTGCAAGTTTGGTCATTATAATTACTTTAAAATTTTACATTTGCCACTAAAATTAATTTATTCCATTCGTAGTCACTTAAATTGGGTTAACAGTTCAAGTTTGGTCACTGGCCGTTAATCTCCGTTAAATTTTGCTGATGTGGCAGTCAACTCTTATAGTTGACCGTTAAATGAGTGACATGGCAATTAAAAATAATAAAAAATAATTATTTAATAATTTTCCACCTAATTATTGTAAAAATAAAAATAAAACCTAATTCCTTTAATTATTATTTTCACCAGCTAGACCGCCGCCGTTCCTCTCCACCGTGGAATGAATCCGTCCATCGTCCTCATCACTTCCGGCAAGCTCTCAATGATCGATCACTAACCGCAATGTGTAAAAAATCCTCCAAACGCCGGATGGTTCAGAACTTCCTCCTGCGGGCACCAACCCGAGATGAAAACAATCCTCTCCGCCTTCTCCTGAAATTCCGCCAAAAGAGTCGCCGACTCTCCGGTGACAAGATCGGGTTGCATGACCCAGAGGAATGAGACCTCGCTATTGACGAAAAATTCATTTGATGAGGATTTGGGAAAGTGTTTTGCACCTACGCAGCAGAACGCTATGAGTATTTTCACTCCTACAAGATTTACAGTCTCCTGAGAAATGAAAGGATTCCTGCCCTGGTGGTCAGGATCCATATCACAAAGCAGGCTGACTTTTCCTTTGCCAACTTGTTGAGGAAAGATGATTCTTGTCTTGATTGATAATTTGCAATAATATGCAAGTAGTAAACATCACACATGGTGGGTTCGTTTGATAATTGTGGAGAATTATTAATCATCAATGCATGATAAATGGAGGACCAATTTGCATGATGGATTGTCCTGCCAACAACAACTCAACGTGGAAGAGTTAGTGCCATCAAATGATGCAAGTACTCACAACAAATGGATAAGAAGATAGAAGAAGAAAATAATGCAGGGGGACACATTTAAAATCATGTCATTTCTCATTTACGTTGCATGCAAGTGGTGTGTTTTTGGTTCTTCTCATTTCATTTACATTATATATATGTTGCAAGTATGGAATGGATAAAAATATAGTATGGGCAAGAGACATAAAATAGAAAAGAAAGAGCTCTCTGCCGTGTGTATGTATGTAACAAGCAAGAGCCAAAAGTTAAGGCCTTGTTTGGTTGAGTGATTTATAAAAAGAGTAATTAAACACCATATATTTCCTTTGTCTTGATCCTATTTTCCACCACAATTCCGCTAATACCCAACAAATTTGGTATCAGAGCTAATACCCTTCTATCCTCTCAAAAATCCCCAAATTTCTAGCCTACCCAATCCTCTCAAAAATCCATGGCAACAACTTCCTCAAACACCATGTTTGCTACCTCTTCTAATCAAATTCCCATTTTCGATGGAGAATTGTACGAGTACTGGAGTGCCCAAATGGAGCCAATTTTCATCTCTCAAGATCTGTGGGATATAGTCCAAGATGGCTATGAAAGTCCACAGGAAGATGATGAAGACTCGAAGAAACGATCAGGCAAGCAGACAAAGGAGTACAAGGAGAATGCCAAGCAAAATGCCAGCGCCTTGAGAATCATTCAGCAAGCAGTGAGCAAATCAATTTACCCCAGAATCTATGGCATCAAAAAGGCCAAAGAAGCTTGGGATGTCTTGCGTGAACAATTTCAAGGTTCTGAAAAGGCAATCTCTATCAGGCGCCAAAGTTTATGGCGACAGTTCGAAAACTTGATGATGAAGGAAACCGACACCATCAAAGACTTCCATTCGCGTGTGGCGGAGACAGTCAACCAGATCAAAGCCACCGGTGATGTCATGGAAGAAAGAAAAATTGTGGAGAGAATTCTCCGCAGTTTATCATTAAAGTTCGAGCATATTGTTGCTGTCATTGAAGAAACCAAAGATCTGGCAAATCTACCAATGAGCGAGTTGATGGGCTCACTTGTAGCACACGAGCAAAGAATGAGCCGCTTCACCAAACCGCCACTGGAGCAAGCTTTCTCGTCAAAAGTCAACATGTCGGAAAGTAAATATGCCAAATCGGATCAAGGCCAGAGAGGGGGAAACTCACAAGGAAGAGGAAGAGGAAGATCCAATTACAGAGGAAACAACAGACAAAATTATCAACAACAAAGATCGGGCTACACCGGCTCGAGTTGCATAATTTGCAAAAAGGCGGGTCATGCAACAAAAGACTGCAAATTCAAGTGCACCAAGTGCAGAATTCAGAACCACTCCCAGAGAGATTGCTGGTTCAGAACAAGCAAGAAGATGGCGAGTCAAGCGGCACCAAAAATGAAGAAAGCAATATGGTGGCCTTGTCATGCTTGTATGGTGAGCAAAAATCACAGCTTCCCTGGATGGTGGATGGTGGTTGCAGTAACCACATGACTGGAGATCTGGAGTCCTTCATCGACATCGATGACAAATACCGCTCTCAAGTCAAATTGGGAGACGGGAAGAAGCTAAAAGTGGAAGGAAAAGGCACAGTTGTTGTATGCACAGAAGAAGGCAACAAAACTCTCATTCGAGATGTTTTGTATGTTCCGGAGCTAACTCTCAATCTACTTAGCGTGGGACAACTGATGCTGAAAAATTACAAGCTATTGTTTGATAATGGCGTGTGTGAGATTATCAACAAAGCAGACAATTTCATGGTGGCCAAAGTCCCGATGACTTCCAACAGAATTTTCTCTCTTGCTATGTCACAAAATGGTGAAGTAGCATTCAAGAGTGAAAATCTGGATCAATCCTTCCTATGGCATCTCAGATACGGTCATCTCAACTTCAGAGGCCTCAAATTGCTGAGGCAGAAAAATATGGTGGCGAGACTTCCCCAGATCAACAGAGAAGATAAAATATGTGAAGGATGCATATATGGCAAAATGCATCGTTTACCATTTCCAAAGACATCTTGGAGAGCAAAAGCGCCACTGGAGTTGGTACATGCAGACATATGCGGTCCAACCCGAAAACAATCACTCAGCGGCAAAAGATACTTTCTACTATTTGTAGATGACTTCACCAGAATGATGTGGGTATTCTTTCTGGAGCAAAAGTCAGAAGCTTTTTCCAAGTTCCTTCAATTCCAAGCAGTAGCTGAGAAGGAAAGCTGCCATCAAATCAAAACTCTCCGTACAGATCGTGGAGGAGAATTTATTTATACTCCGTTCATGGAGTATTGCCGCAACAACGGGATAAAAAGGCAACTGACGGTCCGTTACACACCACAACAAAATGGCGTGGCAGAACGGAAAAATCGCACGATTGTGGAGATGGCGAGAAGTATGCTCAAAGCAAAGAAGCTTCCCAACAACTTGTGGGCAGAAGCGGTCAATACAACAATTTACATCCTCAACAGATCACCAACCAAAGCAGTTCGGAACAAGACACCGATACATGCGTGGCACCACAGGAGGCCACAGGTGGATCACCTCAAAGTCTATGGGTGCATAGCTTATGCACATATTTCTACCCCAAACCAAGACAAGTTTGACCAGAAGGGAGAGAAGCTTATCTTCACTGGCTACAGTGATGAGTCCAAAGGCTATCGTCTTTACAATCCAGTAAAGAATGAAGTGGTGGTTTCCCGAGATGTGATCTTTGATGAGATGGCGGAGTGGAATTGGGAAAATCCAATTTCTCAATCTCCACCAAGTTATGAAATTCTGGAGGACTCAGCAACTCCAGAAGACCCCAGCAACGACCCAGATCCAGTTGCTAGTCCAGAAAGAAATTCTGCACCTAGCTCAGAAGGAGACAACTTCAGAGACGTCGTAACAGACTCGGATTCACCTCCGTTGAGAACAAGGTCTTTGCGAGAAATTTATGAAACAAGTCATGTTGCATATTTTTCTTGTGAGCCTCAAGTCTTTGAAGAAGCAGCCAAAGATGAAGTTTGGAATGAGGCGATGGATGCAGAAATTTCCATGATCGAGAAAAACAAGACATGGGAGCTTGTTGATCAACCGGAGGACAAGCCGGTTATAGGTCTCAAATGGATCTATAAGATCAAATTCAATGAAGATGGTACTATCCAGAAGTACAAAGCTCGACTGGTGGCAAAGGGCTATTCACAGCAGCCCGGTATTGATTTTCACGAGACATATGCACCAGTAGCGAGAATGGAGACCATCAGAACAGTTCTCGCTCTAGCTGCTCAACTGGAGTTACCAGTATACCAGCTGGATGTCAAATCAGCATTTCTGAATGGAGAACTGGAAGAAGAAGTCTATGTGGAACAACCACGAGGCTATGAGAAAAAAGGAGAAGAAGACAAAGTCTATCGTCTCCGAAAGGCATTATACGGGCTGAAGCAAGCACCGAGAGCCTGAAATAGTAGAATTGATCGATATTTTCAGCAGAACGGATTTCAAAGAAGTCCGAGTGAAGCATCTCTCTACATAAAAAAGGGAGAAGGAAAAGATTTTCTAATGGTGTGTTTGTATGTTGATGACTTGATTTACACAGGTACAAATCAGCATATGATCGAAGAATTCAAAAGTACCATGATGAAAGAATTCGAGATGACGGACTTGGGACTCATGAAGTATTTTCTTGGGATCCAAGTGAAGCAGTCACCCGGAGAAATTTTTATTTCACAGGAAAAGTACACCGAAGATATGTTGAAAAGATTTCACATGGCAACGTGCAAACCAATCTCAACACCGATGGCGTTAAACGAGAAATTACAACGCAGTGATGGAGCTGAAAAAGTCGATGGAAAGCTGTACAGAAGTCTTGTCGGGTCACTCATTTACCTGACACATACCAGGCCGGATATACGTCATTCAGTAAGTCTTATATCAAGATTTATGAATGAACCTAGCAAACTTCATTTTGCAGCAGCCAAAAGAATTTTGCGGTATCTTCAAGGTACAAAGAAATTGGGCCTGATGTACAAGAAAGAAGCAGAAAGCAAGCTGACTGGATTTACCGATAGTGACTGGGCAGGATCACTAGATGATCGAAAAAGCACATCGGGCTACATATTCTGCCTGGGTTCAAAACCCATTTCCTGGAGTTCAAAGAAGCAAAAGACCGTGGCATTATCTTCAGCGGAAGCAGAATATATCGCAGCTACAGATGCATCATGCGAAGCGGTATGGCTAAAAAGATTAATTTCTGATTTGCAGCAAAGTGAAAATGGTCCAACCATTATTCATTGTGACAACATGTCAGCCATAGCCATGACAAAGAATCCAGTATTTCATGCAAGATCGAAGCATATTGAGTTGCGTCATCATTTCATCCGAGAACTCGTCAACGAAGGACAAATCGTGATGAAATTTATCAACACCAACAACCAGCCAGCAGATATCATGACAAAGGCGGTTACCCATGAGAAATTTGAAAAGTTCAAGGAGCTACTCCAAATTGCAAATTAAGAGGGGGTCTTGATTGATAATTTGCAATAATATGCAAGTAGTAAACATCACACATGGTGGGTTCGTTTGATAATTGTGGAGAATTATTAATCATCAATGCATGATAAATGGAGGACCAATTTGCATGATGGATTGTCCTGCCAACAACAACTCAACGTGGAAGAGTTAGTGCCATCAAATGATGCAAGTACTCACAACAAATGGATAAGAAGATAGAAGAAGAAAATAATGCAGGGGGACACATTTAAAATCATGTCATTTCTCATTTACGTTGCATGCAAGTGGTGTGTTTTTTGTTCTTCTCATTTCATTTACATTATATATATGTTGCAAGTATGGAATGGATAAAAATATAGTATGGGCAAGAGACATAAAATAGAAAAGAAAGAGCTCTCTGCCGTGTGTATGTATGTAACAAGCAAGAGCCAAAAGTTAAGGCCTTGTTTGGTTGAGTGATTTATAAAAAGAGTAATTAAACACCATATATTTCCTTTGTCTTGATCCTATTTTCCACCACAATTCCGCTAATACCCAACAGTTTTGACATAATTAGGAGAAAATGCATTTTTTTCCTTCTTCTCATTCGGGTTTTCACTTTCTTCTGATCTTCGGTTATCCAGCTTTGATTTAGCCTTTTCTTTCTCCTTTGTGCATGTTTCTTCCCCCTCTGCGGGTTGAGATTTTGGTCCTCTATTCTATTTTGCAGATCTAGAGATGTGTTGTTCATCTGTTCTGTTTATCAGATCTAGAGATGATTTGATCGATCTTGATAGCAAAGGAGGCTGGATTTAACTGAGTCCAGCTTGTCTCCTCTTCCTCATGCCTTTCGTCCACCTCCTTGCTTTGCCTTGCAGATCTTGACGATTCGGAGATGTGGTCGCTGCCTTGAACTTGGTTTGATGATCTTGGAGACAGAAGATCTTCCTCTTGATCTGTCATTGACCGCCCATTCTTCATGAAGGCTATCTCGATGCTTTTGGTGATCGAGGTGTTGTAGGAGTTTGGACTGACGCGGGTTTGTCGGAGATGGCTCCGGTTGTTCTTTCGCCTCCCTCGATCCGGTGTGGTTGCTTCACCCCCTCTTCTTGGTGCGTCCATGCTGTATGTCGGCGGAGGAGGTTGCAGGGGGCGCCAGTGGCGGTGGTAGTTTGTAGGAGGGAGCTTGTGCAATTAGGGTTGGGAGACTTTTCTGTTTGTTGGGCTCTTAGGTCGGGCCCTATTTTGTTTCTGGCCTGGCCAGTCGTTTTAGGGTTTTGAGTTTCAGGTCTGTTTTTCATTTCTTTAGTTGTATGATGCATGTGATATTTTTCCTCTCGACTTGGCCCATTTTCTATTAAATGAACCACTTAAAAAAAAAAAAAAAAGCTTACAACCAATTCCTTGGACAACATATTTGTTGGCACGAGCCTTTGGCGACCGTTAGAGAAACCAAAAATGGTAAAAGTAGATTTTTATTTATTTAACAACAAAACAAACCAAACCAAAGTCACTAATTGGGCAAGCGAACTTGTTGGGCAGCTCAGACAAATTAAAGTGCACCACTACGTACGCAGCAAACCCTAGTACAAGTTTGCAACTTGCTACATCTCTACATCTAAACCGCAATATACATACATATTTAAAAAAAAAAAAAAAACCCAGAGAATTATTATCCATATAAAAAATTTTAATAGTAAGTCTGATGGTGATGAAAGTGGAACATCCCATTCTCAGAAACGCAACTCATGCACTTGCTGCTCTTCAAACTCGGCTCCTTTGGCATTGTCAGCGCTCTGTTTGATCTGCCAGAATACACCACCACAATTACTTTTTTGAGTTATTTATATAATTAAGCTGTTTAAGTTAGATGTTGATGCAAACAAAATAACCGACGGCTGGAGAGAGAGATTAATTGTGTCACTTTTTGGTTCAAATCCAAGTTGGGTATCGATGAATATATTGCTTACCTTTGTGGGAAGAAAGGTCGGTCGAAAAAGGGCATCAATTGGGCTCTTGGAACCATTTTCTTCCTCAGCGACTTAACCTCTTCTTCTTCAATCATCTGATCACCGCCAAGTAATTAAGTGAATCGGTTCATTTAATTGGTAACTAGTTTCTTAATTAACTAATTAATTATTGTGTATATATATTATGCTCAACCTTTTGCAGTTTCTCTAGTTGCCGTTTCTCATGCTCCTCAACATATACTTTGGTAGCTACCTGAAAAGAAAGATAATTAACCAACAAATGAAACGAATATTGCTAGCAAATTTTTACACTATATGGAATTGCATGCAATATGGTTATCTAAATCAGTAACAATTAGCTATATATATATATGACGTACGAAATAGTTGAACATGGCACGCTTGATGGCTCTTTCTTGAGAATGGAGTTTGAACTCCTGTGGCTTGGTGTTCTCTTTCGAGCTCGCCTTTGGCTTCTCAATTGTCCGCTCCTCTTTTCTCTGCCAAAAACCAATAACACAATTTTTTTCCATTACTTAAAATTACTAAAACATCGTCATTTTGATTTAGAATTGAAATTTGGATCAAATAGTATGAAGTTATTTGATAAGGTATTGATCAGTATTTACAATCGCCGGGTTATGTCCAATTTCGTTTGATCTCGATTGTACCGATCTACCACCATTGACACGCGTAAACTCTCTCTGCTCTCTCTTCCCAAGTCAATTTCCCCGACAAAAAAAAAAACTTATCTTTTCGGAAGTACTCGGGGCAACACGTGTTAAACATGAATAAGGTATAATGGTAACTTTGAAAATGGATGAAAATTACCACACTATATTCTAATAACTATTTATACACAAGCATGGATCTTATATAATCTCACCATTCCCCTTGGAGTTGCAGTTGCAGTGCTCCCTGAAATTAGCGCGGATAATTGGGTGCTGCTCTTCACCTAAATTTCCAAACCGATAGGATGGTACGAGAATTAATCGTACGGTTAGTTAGCAGTTTGAAACAAATTGAAGGCCAAACTAAACTTAATTGGTGTGGATGATTAAACTAATTAGTAAAGAGAGAAAATTAGAGAAACCTTGAGATTGGATTTGCTGTGGATTTTCTCCATGTTTGTGCTACTCACTGTAGCTTGCTCGTAATGACTCTCGACTGATTACAAACAATTAAGAGGTTGAGATGAGTTTATTATTAAGTGAAGTGAAGAGATGATCGAATTGGAGATACACTAGCAATTTATAATGGGAAAGTTTGGGAGATTGGTAGCTGTCTGCTTCTGTTTGCAAAACAAGTCCAAATCAAGTCAAGTGGCTCTCCTTCATTCTGCTCCACCAAACTATAGCTAGCTAATTAATTTAGCACCAATCAACTTTAACTACTTCCCTTATGTTCCTTCATTTCTCCTCTTTGCTAATCCAACAGAGACCTGACGACGTAAAAGGGGAGCAGGAAAGCTAATTAGTGAACACCAAACTTTATTAAGCTTAAGCCTGATTCCGACCCAACAACGCCAGCTACAAAAAATTAGAGAAACCCACAAAAAAAAAAAATCAAAATCTTGGTGGCTGTCGTATCAAATACTGCAACAATTTCTGGCCACCAGGGTTTAGTTAAAGTTTCAAACTTTCCTGTAATTGCGTCTTCACGTAACTCCCAAGATATAGTAATTAATGGTACGTACACTAAAAAAAATAACATGATGATCATATATGGCCCAAAGGCAGTCGGTGGTCGGTTTTCATTTCCCGTATCCGTTCACTTTCCGATCGAGGCTATGAGACTGAAGAGAAACCATCATTACGACTTAAGTGGGTAGTTAACCCTCCCACTGTCAACTCTTTCTTGTTAAACCCGTTATCCACCCTAAACTAATTAAGCCACTCCCATTATATACATATATATGGTGCCTTCTATGGTACCCGGTGAAATCCGGGTACCGCATACGTTGAATATGAAAACGCTATATAGATCTCGAATTAGCTGGATTTTTGGGCATGATACTATACACTAACCCTTAATGAGTGAACCCTAGGTCCTAATTATCTAAATCGTAAACTATAAACCCTAAGATGGTGCATTGATTTTCCCTCTTTATTTGGACGAATCGTAAACTATAAACACTAAAACCAGAGTGGATAGAAAAATAATACACTATCTCTACAAGAATAGCCCCCATCCGGTTATCTCTGATATATGCACTATTGATATTCTCAATAATGACCTTGGCATCCCCTTCGAACCTCATGTCCGTGAATCCATGACTCATGCACCACAGAATAGCCTCCATGAGTACTAGCAATTTGACCACCATTGGATCATCAATAAATGGGAATTGAAACCCCTTAGCCATAAGAATATCCCTGGTCGGAGTCGGAATGACCTTCACACCAGCGGAATGAGACTCACTCCTTGTAGCATCATCCCACATACAAACAGCCATAGCAGTTCCCCCAGGACCAAAGTGTTGTATCAACGAGACAGAAGATTGAGGTGCGAGATCTACCGACAAGCTTATCCATTCCTCATATAGTTGGGGAAATTGACACATCAAGGCTGGGATCCCAAACTGTTTACCCTCAAAAACAACCCAGTTACGAGACTGCCAAATCCTCCATATGATGGCAATAACCGCCATGAACAGAGAAGGTTGATGTATCAAAGACTTCAACTTCTTGAGAAAGAGTAGGAATGTATGACAAGGCAACCTTTGACCAAGATACTCTAGACCCGAATACTCCCAAAGGGCTCATGCCACTAGACAATAGGGAAACAAATGCTCCATTGTTTCGGAGTTAGCCTAGCAAACCGGGCATTTGGGGAGCACAAGAACATCTTTCTTCAGTAGTTGGTAGGATTCGGTGAAATATTTGCCAGACAAAAACTTTCAATTTGGGCGGAATATTAGCCTCCCATAACCGAATCCAACTGGATTTATCCATCCAATTAACCATTGACCTCCAACGCCCATGTCGTTTATCAATGGAGACAGCCAAATGGTAAGCCGATTTAACTGTGAAAACCCCATCAGTCGTGCTATGCCAAAGTAGTCGATCCTCCACATTCTGTCGAGGCAGAGGAATAGCTATGATGGCACAATAGGTAGGTAGGTCAAACCACTGGCTGAGTTTTTAGTCACACCACTGCCCTTCCCCCTGACATATAACCTCCGCGACAGGCGGGTCACCCCCGTTCGGTAACACCCGAGGATTATACACCAGGGGCAGGGATGTAGCTGAGGAACCCAATTGGAATAAAGTAGAGAAGCAGTCTGACCATTCCCAATTTACCATCTTAACCCCTCCTCCAACAATTGCCGACCATAAAAGATACTTTGCCAGCCCCATGATGGGCGGGAGCGAGTCGTAGTAGTGAGGAAGGTCCTAGTCGGAAAATATTTTCCTTTATAGACCTGGGCTAAAAGGGAATGGGGTTCATTAAGGATACACCATCCAATTTTGGCTAACAGAGCCTGATTAAAATGTTCACAACGACGAAATCTCATACCCCCATCATGTTCACTTCTGCACATATTGTGATAGGAAATCGAGCGAATTCTTGACTGGCCCTCTTCTACAGCCCACCAAAAGCGGGCAACGTGTCTGTCCAGGAGCCGACACAGAGATAGAGGCTGCTTAAAACAAGACATAACATGCAAAGGAAACACCAAGGCAATTGATTTAATCAAAGTTTCCTTAGCTGCCCAAGGTAATGTTCTCTGTTTCCATCCCTGAAGTCGCTCAAGCAGCTTCTCCTCCAAATAGTGGAAAGTAGTCATTTTGGAACGGGCAATAAGCGTTGGTAATCCCAGATATTTGTCATGTACCCCCACCGCCGCGACCCTCAGAATCTGAGTCAAGAAGTCTTGCTCTGGCAGTGCAATATTTTTGCTATAGCAAACACCCGATTTGGCCAAGTTCACCTCTAGCCACTGAGTTCCTCATAGTCATTTAAGACCTCGATCAAATTCTCACATTCCTGAAGAGAGCCACGCAGGAATAAATAGGAATCATTCGCAAAAAACAGATGCGAGATCCTGGGAGCACGGGGAGCCTTTTTTACTCCTTCAAGTTTTTTCTCCGAGATGGCCTTTTGAAGGAGCGCAGCAAACCCCTTTGTGCATATTACAAACAACAGAGTAGAGAGAGGAACTCTAGATTTTTGTTAAAACTCATCTTGTCCAAAACTGCCAAAAGAAATGGTCATTCGACTCTATGAAATGCCTTTTCCATGTCAACCTTTAGAGCCATGTACCCTTTCTTACCACATATTTTGATTTTCAAGTAATGCTTTAACTCATGCTCGAGGATATTCTCAACTATTTGTCATTCCCGGATGAAGACATTTTGGCCGTCCGAGATGATCTGTGGTAAGAGGCAAGCAAGCCTTTCAGCCATGATTTTTGTTATAACTTTGTAAACAAACTGGCATAAGTTGATCGGGCGCAGTTGTCTCATAGTCTCCACGTTATCCACTTTAGGGATCAAAGTGAGCCAAGTATGATTGAAGCTACGGAGCATCTTACTCGTTGTAAAGAACGAGCAGATTGCTTCAATCACCAAACTTCCCACAACACCCCATAAGGCCTTAAAGAATTTCCAGTGAAACCATCTGACCCTGGTGCCTGCTTCGATCCATGGAAAAGAGCATTTTTCTTACTTCGTCGAGGAGGACTTCAGCCTTCAGACTAGCATTCATTCCCAGTGTAACACTGTGATCGATGGCAAGAGCAGCCACCCGATCAGACATATTTCGCACCTGGTTCTCCAAGGTGAAAAGAGTCTGATAAAAAGTAGTGGCAATGGCAGCTTTCCCATTCTCCTTAGTGATCCATTTGCCATCGTCATTGTGAAGGCCAAACACGAAGTTCCGTTTCCTCTAAGCCCTTGTAACCGTGTGGAAGTAAGATGTATTCTTGTCACCTTTTTTCAACCACCGAACTCTAGATTTTTGTTGCCAATAGATTTTCTCCGCCTCCCACTGCCTATTCAACTCAATTTTCAATCTCCAGACCTCCTCCCAATAAATAGGATGGACTAATTTTATCCGATTAATTTCTGCCTGGAGTGTTTTGATATTATGCAATGAATTCGTATTGCTCGCTCTACTCCAGTCATATAGCAAATGGCGGATTTTCTTTAGGCGCTCCCAAAGTCGAAACATTGGAGTACCTTGGACATCCTCCTGCCATACATAGTGCACCATAGCCTTGACCTCCGGATTATCCGCCCAGCGGGCATCAAAGCAGAAAAGGGTCATCTATTCCATGCATATGGCTTGTTAGAGATGAGGAGGGTCAATGATCTGATCCTTGATCAGTAAATGTTTGACCAGGGTATCCGGGAAGAGATCAATCCAGGTCTGGGAGCATAAAGCTCTATCCAGCCTCTCCCGAATGCAAGCCGCTCTCATCCGTTTATTCGTTTAGGTGAACTGATTACCCTGGTATCCGGGATCATGAAGACCTAAGTCATGGACAAAAAACTACGCCTAGATATGTTCCCTCAATACTGGCAAAATACGAGGGTTCAAACCTCTTCAAACATAGTTCACACGAGGGTGTTTGATTGATGGAATTTTTGGGAACTGAGAGCTCCAAACTATGACTATGGCTACTTGTAGAGAAAATGTGTAAAGTTTGACGAAGGCGTCAATTGTCTGGTTGTGGAACCCCTCTTGGTCGGCCCTTCCTCCTATTTATAGCCATGGGTATATAATTTTCATTGAAACCTCCTCGGATAACTCGAACAAGAACTGCTTCCTACTTCCTGCTTCCTCGAAACGTGGCTAACGTGTCCCGTGAACGTGGGATGAGTAGCAATTCATCTCTCAATTGGCTAGGTACCTCTCTTGTAACCATCATGGGACTTGGAGTGTAGCTTGCCTCGTATAGTCTTGTTCCAAACCTCGTGTCATGTTAGTCTTTTGATGAACTTGTGTTGTTAAAGGGTCATGGTCCTCTTGGGACATTAGGACTCAATCGCATGACTAGTGATATAATGCTCAACCACCATGTTCTTCTCACTCGTGCTATGGCCCTTCTCGCTACACAGTCATAGACCTCTCAATCATGCACATGACCCCTCACATGAGGCGGCATGGCCTTCTGAAATTCAGTATATTTTGGGTCGTTCGGTCTTGGTCATGAGGCTTGATCTCATGGCATGGGCTCTCCATTCGCGACCATGTACTTCTTATTCGTGTCCATGGCCC